TATTGAATAAAAGAAAGCATATAAAGATTTAGATATATATGTAACTGAAATAGATGGTAGGGAGCTTTCATTAAAAATTGAAATTTCCTTGCTTGAAAGTGCAAACAAATTTTTAAAATCAAAACTATCTGAACTTAAGAATAATAAACTACCACCTACATTAGAATAATTTCAGAAACCCTTAACACAGCATGCATCACTTAAACCTAAGAGTAAGCACCGTGCCCCACAAAGGTTAGTAAACCCATTTCTTGGTGTTAGTTTTTTCTTTTGTGGCATGTTAGGTCACATAGATTGTACTTGCACAATCCATAGTAGAACATTTCTATTGTGGATACCAAAATTTTATTCATGACAGCATAGCATGCATTCATCTCATTCATTCAAGTATAATGTGGAACCCAAACTCACTAGGGTTTGAAAATCTAACCATTAAATGACTATAAAGGGCTTCTCTCAGAAAAGACATAGTGAGAGCATGTGGTACATGAACAGTTGATGCTCAAGGCACATGTCAGGTGATATGAAGTAGTTCATCATAGTTTAAGCTAGGTCAAGAGGCAAGGAGACATTTGTGGACAACACCACCAGGAATATGGTGGGCTCAATTATAATTAAAATTTTAAAAAAACTTTATAATTGAAAATATTTTATTAGATAATAATTTAAAGCATATTTATTAAGTATTAGTCAACTATATGATAAAGTCTTTGATAAAAAAATTCTTTTTAAAATGCATTATTTGTTTAAATTAAAACTTATGTTAGAAGAAAAATGATTGAACAATGTTTACATGTTAGAGTTAAACTGCATTGAATTTTCAAATTCCTTATGCTTGAAAACTATAATTGATGAATATTAGCTATGGTATAGGAGACTTTGTCATAAGAGTATGAAGAATCCTAGGAATAACACCTAAAAAACTTATTTAGAGGCATACCTAAGTTAGAATCCACTAAGGACCATTTATGTGATGCCTGCTAACTAGGAAAAAAAGTTTTGTATTTATTCCATTCAATTAAATACATTAACACCTCTAGGCCACTAGAAATCATTCATATGTACCTATTTGGACCAGTTAGTATAGTTAGCCTAGGAGGAAAAACATTTGGATTTGTAATAGTATATGACTACTCTAACTTTTCTTGGGTTAGATTCCTAGCATGCAAGAGAATGTCATTTAAGGAATTTTGAATATTCTCCACCTAGATTAAAAAACAATTAGAATGTAAAATCTCAACAATTAAAAGTGATCTTGGTGGAGATTTTGAAAATGATAAGTTTGAATCCTTCTATCAAGAGATTAGAATAGAACATAACTTCTCTTCCCCTAGGACCTAACAACATAATGTAATAGTTGAAAGGAACGTTGGTGGAAATTGTTAGGGTAATGCTAGTTGAGTATTCACTTCCTAGGTATTTTTTGGAAGAAGTAGTAAATACTACTTGTTATATTTTAAATTGGGTGAATGTTATATCCAAGCTTAATAAGACACCCTACAAACTCCTTAAGGGTTGGACACTAAACCATTCTCACTTGCATGTCTCTTTTTGTAGATGCTTCATCTTAATTAATAAAAAATTGCCCTTAGGAAAAGTTGATCCCAAGTCTTATAAAGGTGTCTTCTAAGGTTATTCATCTATAGGTAAGGCCTATAGAATCTTCAATAAGAGGACCCTGGTAGTAAAATAGTCTACCCATATGGTACTTGATGAATATGTTAGGATCTCTGAATCTAAACCTAAAAAAGAAGAAGTGGGGGTAATTAAAGTGCTAGAAGCCATTGATATAGGAGATAGAATTGAACCTCAGGAAAGTTTTCCTAGAGAATGGAGATATTCTTCTAGTCATCCTAAATAACTTATTTTAGGAGTCTCATATGAAGTTCCTAGAACTAGGTATGGACTTTAAAAGGAAGTTAATCATTAACATTTTATCTCTTTAAGATAACCCACTAATATAGATCAAGTCCTAACAGATGAATTATGGTTCCTAGTAATGCAAGAAGAGCTAAACCAATTTGTTAGAAATGTGTATGTGAACTTGTTAATAGACATAAGGATAAGAGTGTGGTTGGAACAAATTAGGTTTTCAAAAATAAGATCAATGACAATGGAATAGTAGTGAATAATAATGCTAGATTAGTAGCTAAGCAGTATAACCAAATAAAGGGAATAGATTTTGATGAAACCTTTTCCCCTATAACTATATTAGAAAGCTATTTGGGTACTAGTAGCCTTTGTTTGCTCTAAGGGTTTTAAACTATATCAAATAGGTGTTAAGAGTGACTTTCTAAATGGGATAACTTAAGGGGATGTTTATGTCAAGTAACCCCCAGGTTTTGAAAATTCATATATCCCAAATCATGTATTCAAACTAAAGAAAGCACCTAGAGCTTGGTATGAAAGGATGAGCACATTCCTTCTAGATAGAGGCATTATTAAGGGTAGGTAAGACACCACCCTTTTCATAATGAACGAATGAAAAGACTTACTCATTATCTAAATTTTTGTTGATGGCATCTTATTTGGATCCTCAGATAAAAACCTGTTTGATGAATTTTTAAAAGTAATGAGTAGAGAATTTGAGATGAGTTCGATAAGAGAGCTAAGATACTTTCTTGGATTTAGTATAAAGTAGATAGATGATGGAACCTTCCTTAACCAACATAAATACATAAGGGACATCCATAAAATGTATGAAATTTATAATATTAAGGCGATGAACAATCCCATGAGCTCTACTTTTTAATTAAATAAGGGCCCAAAAGGAAAATCAGTAGATCAGGAAAGTATAGGGGATAATTAAATCACTTATTTACATAACTGCTAGTAGACTAGACATAATGTTTAATGTGTATTTTTATGCACGATTCTAGGCTAATCTAAAAGAATCCTACCTGACTGCCATTAATAGAATCCTTAGATACATGTAAGACACTCCAAACCTAGGAATCTAGTATCCTAGACATAACACTTCTTTTAAAATCATAGGATATTCATATTCTGATTTTGTATGATTTAGGGTAGATAGAAAAATCACTTCTAGAACCAATCTATTGATTGGATAATCTTTAGTCTCCTTGTCTAGTAGAAAATAAAACTTAGTAGCCCATTCCACAGCAAAGGAAGAATATTAGCATTAGGGAGATTTATTGATCAAGTCTTATGGCTTAAGAAAAAACTCTTAGATCTTGGATTACTTGTAGAAACCATTCTAATTATGTGTGATGACACTAGTACTATTTGCATATCCAAATATCTAATTCAACACTCCCGTACAAAGCATATAATCAATAGACACTGCTTTATAAGAGATTATGTAGCTAAGGGGAATATAGAATTGCATCTTATATCTATAGGAGATAAATAGGAAGACATCTTCACTAAACCCCTAGCCTGTGACACCTTTAGCACTATGAGGAGTAAACTAGGTGTTACAGGCATTCATGCTTAACTCAAGATAAATAAAAAAAATTATTTTAAATGTAATAAATCATACATATGTATTAAACTATATGTGTTTGTTATTGTGCATGTTTATGTATTAATATCTATAATTCATTTCCAAAAAAATAATAAAAAAATAAAAGTAAATACAACTACAACAACAATAACAACATCAAGCCCTTATCCTGCTATATGGGGGTCAGTTACATAAATCCTTTTTCTCTATTTTTTCATGTTAATAAAATAAATAAATAAATATATATATATATATATATATATATATTTGTTATTTCCTAATCATCACACACTTACCTCACCTACTCACCAAATCTTTTAAATGTTTATATCGTATTGTATGATCCACGTTTGTGCTATACGATATGTATAGATCGCAACCCTTAGTTTAATCAATGGTCCAGATTAGATCCATGTTATGTAATTATACTGTATAAACCTTTTTTATACCATTAAATCTATACGTAACTAACTATTAAGGAATTCAATTCTTTTGGTACAAAAATATTACCAATCGTACAGTACGATACCTCTGTTTGTATTATATAATACACATTTCAAATTAGATTGGGATGAATTCAAATTAACTGGTATGATAATTATTGTGAGTTTGAGGAAGTTATGAGTAGATTCAATACAAATGTTCAAGCCCTTCTAGATTATATATTTTGACATATCTTAAAATATGATCTAGGTATGTATAGTACGATTGGAGTAGTTAATTCTTCTGGATGACTTCTAAAAAAAGTTGTTAAATTATATAGTATGATTTGGTATCAGGCTGGATGATATTAAAGAATTGTGTTCATCCTGAGGAGTCATCGGTACGTCATTTGATGAAAGGCATCATAAAATATGAACATGTGCTTGTATAGTATGAAGCATAATAATTGTAAGGGATGAAGATATGGCTGAATAACTCTAGGGAACACACCCTCCTCTCATCTCTTTAATAATCATTTCCTATTTGTAAGGGATGAAGATGCCAATTACACCCACAAGGAGGCAAAAATCACCCCTTCTTGAATGTTAAATTAACCAGCCCTTAAATTCGAGGTGATGAACCTCTTTACCTCCAATACTCTTCAATTTCCCCTCATATAGGCATTTCCCATCCACTCTGAATTTCTTTTTGAATTCTTAGCCAGTCTTAGGGTAAATTTAGAAGAAGACTTAGGGGAGTATATAGGTCTTTCTAGTGAAAGACCTCATCCACAATCACTTATCTAAATAAATGACTTTGGCTGAACTTATATTAAACTAATTACTAAAAATGTACCTATAAAAAACCATCAACTACTAGTCCACACCCTAAACCAAAATGCTCAAGTTATCTAGCATGTCCTTAAGACCACAATCATAACCAAAGTTGGAGATCGAGTTAATATAATCCCACTTCTTTCCATCATCACCCACCTAATTATGTTGAATACCAAATTTGATGAAGAACAAATGATTATTTATTATATAAAAAATATGACTCATATTTAACAACCAAATAACCAAAGAAATAATCGGCTGTAACTGTGAAAGGCATGGTTAATGGTTGTGATTTGAATCAAAACAGAGATTCAATTGGAGGAGTTAAAGCTACAGATGGTATATCCGGGGAGGAGTCTAACAAGATTAAGTTAGCTAAAGAACTGAAGTTCCTTGGACCAATTAAAAATGCTCCTAGGGGAAAGAATATGGATGGAATGGGCAGTAAAAAGAAGGGAGGGGCCTCATCCCCTAGAGTTAAATTGTGAATTCCACAGCCTTTTGGAATTGTAGAGGAGCTAAGAAGGAGGCTTCTCTTTATATCAAGGAGCTTGCTAGAGATCATGGAATTCTTTTTGTGGGCCTAGTGGAAACAAAAATTGGCAATTTCAGCAAAGTAGATTTGGAGAGAATCTTGGGAAAAGATTGGGACCTTTTTATGGTTCCTTCAGATGGCCTATCCAGAGGTTTGCTGTTATTATGGAGATCAGACTTAGCTTCTTTCATTGTAATCAAGGATTCAGATCAATGTGTGATTGGGAACCTTAATGTGCCCAATAAAGAGATGTGGATGTTAGCTACAGTATATGAAAGCAAAGAGGTGTTTAAAAAGAGAAGTCTGTGGGGGTGTATTCAGGAAGTTGCAAATTTGAAGTTACCTTTGGCGGTAGGAGGAGACTTCATTTGCATAATCTCTCAAGATGAGAACAGAGGAGGAAGGAAATTTTTAATCTCTCAAGGTCCAATTGAGATGGTGGACTTCATGAATGAGAATGATTTTCATGATGTAAAGGTGGTGGGACCAAGGGACACTTGGTGCAATAACAAAAGTGGTAGTAGTCGGATGTTGGAGAGATTGGACAGGTGTTTGCTTAACACCTTGGCTTTCAACCTTATTCAAGATGTTCTAGTGAGACATTTAGCTAGAATTGCTTCTGACCATTGTCCCATAGTTTTGAAAATATTTGATTCAAATTTTAGAAGCAATGGGTTCCTCAAATTTGAGGATGTTTGGATATCCTATAGAGGATCGACTTATATTATAGATAAAGATTGGAAGAGAAAATTTGAAGGCAATGAGATGGAAATCCTGAATAAAAAATGCAAAAATCTTTAAGGGATTTGCATTTTTGGGGGAAGGCTAAAGCAAAGAAATTCACTAGCGAGAAGGACAAATTGAAAAAAGAAATTTTTCATTTTCAAGAAGAGGAAGCAAATGTGGGCTGGTTGTGTGAAGAGAAGCTTCTAATGCTGAGAACTAATGTTAGAAACCTGAATGTGGCTCTATCCAAGCTAAATACTTGGTGGAAACAAAGAGCAAAGGTAAGATGGTATGAAGAGGGAGATGCTAACACGAAATTCTTTCACTCCTTTGCAAACGCCAGAAGATGCAAAATTTATATTTCTCAAGTGAAGAATGGCAGTGGGAAGCTAACTGAAGATCCTAAGGAGATTCAAGAAGTATTCTATAGATACTTTTTTGACAAGTGGAAGCAAAGGAATTGTTTGGAAGATAATTGGCCAGCACAATATAATAGTCTTGATGATGATGATAGGAGAAGATTGAATGCTGAAGTTTCTGATCTAGAAATCATAGAAACTATCAAGTCGCTGGGCAACATTAGAGCTCCTGGAGTTGATGGCATCTCTTATTCATTCTTCAAGGCTTATTGGAACACTGTTGGCAATGATGTGTGCAATGAAGTAAAGTATTTCTTTGCAACAGGGAGGATGTGCAAGGATTGGAAAGACACTCTAGTAGCGAAGATGAAGAACCCAGTTACGCCGGCTGGGTTTCGTCCGATTAGCCTTTGTAACTCTATTTATAAAATTGTTGTTAAAAGTCTTTTGAACAGGTTGTTGATGGTCATTCCAAAGATTATTTCATAGGAGCAAGTTTCTTTTGTCAAGGGAAGGAACATCACGGATCACTTATTACTAGCTCATGAAGTTTCAAATAAAATCAGGATGTCTAAAGTAGCTGATGGCATGGTAGCAATCAAATTAGACATGGAGCAAGCTTATGATAGCATGAGTTGGAAGATGCTTCACAGAATGATGGTGATCTTGGAATTCCCAAAGCAATTCATGGATTTGGTGATGGAATGCATTACGGAGACTAGATATGCTATCACAGTTAATGGTGGACTTTCTAATTGGATTAAAGGGAAGAGTGGGTTTCGTCAAGGTTGCCCCCTCTCTCCCTTTCTTTTTATTATTTGTTCCCAACTTCTCTCTAATGGATTTTACAGTGAAGGCAAAGATCTTGGCATCAAAATTTCTCCTAATTCTCAAAGGATTTCTCATTTGCTTTATGCCGATGACGTCCTATTATTTTCTGATGCAAAAATCAAAAGTATCAAGAAGGTTAAAAACATTTTGATCAATTATTGTGCTTGGAATGGATTGATTATAAATTCTAAAAAATCAGCCATGATTTGCAACAAATCTGTCAACAGAGGTAGGAGGAAGAAGATATCAAGGCTGTTGGAGATAATGCAAGTAGAAGAAATGGATTATTTGGGTACCAAATTTGCTCTCAGAAGACTTAAAAGGCTGATTTTAAAGGTCTTTTAGACAAATCAATGAAGACTATTAACACATGTGGAAATAGATATATTTCCCTAGCGGGGAGGCTGGTTTTGATTAATCATGTTTTGGGTAATATTCCCTTGTTTCTTATGTCTCATTCTTATATCCCCTTAAGTATTTTGAGGGAATTTGAGAAGATTTCAAGGAATTTTATCTAGATTAAATTTGATGGTAGACAAGGAATGCATGATGTGGCTTGCTTGGGATGAAATGTGCAAACCGATATCTATGGGCGGTTGGGGTCTACACTCGGCTGCTTCATGTTTGGAACAAATGAGAGAAATGTTTGCTTGGAATATGGTACTTTATCCTAATTACTTATTAAATAAGAGCCTTATAGCTTGATATGGAAATTATTGGTGGAGATGTGATTCTTCAAGATGTGGTTCTTCTTCCTGGAAAATCATATCTAGAGGTTGGAAGGCCTTGAAATGTTTTGTAAGATGGAAGGCTGTAAATGGCAGGAGCATTAAGGTATTAAAGTATATTTAGATCTTGGACAAATGTTTGAATAAATGGCCAACTTTTGTGGCTATTTTTGAAGATGAGAACTCAACTCTTGATTACTTCATTCAAGATGGTAGATGGAATATAGAGAAACTTTCTCTGTTTTTTGGGAAAGAGTTGCTGAAACAGATTTGTAATATTCAAATTTTCCAAGACTCTGAATCTGATTACATGGAGTTGAAAAGGAAGTTATCCGGGAAATCTATTTCTTCTATGCTAAGAGAAGAGAGTGTGAGGGAAGTAGCTGTGGAAGACCAAAATGCTTGGATTCTTTTTTTTTTTTTTTTTTTTTTTTTTTTTTTTTTTTTTTGAAAAAGTGCATCAAATTGCATTAGAAACAAAACAATAACTAATTACAAGTAAAAAATGGATCACATTCCTCCTTGAGTAATTTTAACAATGAGGAAGGAATACTATCAAAGGAAAAACTATCAAAAAAGAAACTCCTCTCCAATGCCATAGTAGCACAACAATTAGCTACTTTATTACAACCTCTATAAGCATGGAGGAAAACAACTTTAATGAAATCATTTAGGAAACACAAATCCTTAGTCGGCCATCTATCAACTTGCCACTTGTTCTTCTTTAGAGAGTCTTGAATGAACTTGATAACATTGGCATTATCACTCTCAATGACCAGCCCTTTATACTCCAACATCCAGCTTCTCAAAAAATCATTCATCGAGAAAACTGCTTCAAGCTTTAATTGAGCAATATCCCAATGAGTTCCATTCTTCCAAAATGCACTTATAAACCTGCCTTTGTGGTCTCTAAAGACACCACCAACTCCAGCCAAATTGGAACAAAGAAAAGAAGCATCTACACTGATCTTGATCCAATCTTTCGGTGGAGGGCACCAAGTACTTTGAAACTCCTTAAGCAGATTAGTACCCCAGCTAGTAAGATATGGACCAGAATTTGAGATGGCTAAAAACAAAGCATTCGAAGCAACCATAGAGCTTGGCAATGTAGTCTTACCGTGCTTGACGGCATTCCGATTCTTCCAAGAGTGATATACTATATTGCAATAAATCTATACAATTCTAGAATTATTTTGTGCTATCTATTTTAACCCCCGTAAACAGCAATTAAGAGAGCTAAAAATAGGAATAGAAATACCCCATTCACCCATCTTCACAATGACATCAGTCATATATTTACAATGTACCATTATATGTTCATTTGATTCACTCACTTGGCATCCTCCAGGACAAAGATCATCAACTGAAATCCTACGGTTCTTCAAAAACTAATTGGTTGGAATCGCTGCCTTCCCCAACCTCCACTAGAAAATCTCCACCTTCTTCTTGAGTTTTAGCTTCTGTAACCAGTTAAAGTAATCAACATCCTCCATGGTATACTTGTTAGACAACATTTTCTCATACACCAAAGTTGAAACTATTTTTCCCGAGCATCTCTTCATCAATTCCAGCTGATCCTCCTCAAACTCAATATGAATTTGGCTAATCAAGAATACTAGATCAGGATGGAAGGCCCTTTGCATCTTGTTATAATCCCATTCACCATTGCTAAGCAAAATCTGCTATATGTACATTCCATCAAAAAAATTGCAATCAACAAAAGTAGGCCACCGGTTGATACATCTATCCAGCAACCATGTATCATTTAAAATATTAATTCTGTCACCCCTGCCCACTCTCCAACGAATAGCCATTTTCAAAAATTTGCCACCATCCACAAGAATTTTCCAAGCTACTGAAGTAATCTTTCTTTGGGCTCCATTCAACACATCACAACCATATCTAGCTACCATAGCACCATGGAACAAAGATTGCTGTTTCTGTATAAAATTCCAAGCAATCTTGGATCTAAACGATCCAACAATAAGAAGGGGAGAATGTAAACCCAACACTCCCCAACTTCTTGGTTTACATAAATCATCCCAAGCAACATAGTGCATACCATTAGTCCCATCATTTTTATGCCAAATAAAATTGTACAAAGTTTCTCCAACTCATGTAAAACCCTCTTGGGTACTATAGAATGAGTGATTAAGAAATTAGGCATAGAAAGCAAAGAGCTATCAATGAGAATCAGCTTACCTCCCAATGATAAGGACTTCTTACTCCAAGCATTGAGATTATCCATAACATTACTCAGAATTTCTTGAAAATCAGCCTTTTTAAGTCTATTAAGAGACATCTTCACTCCCAAATACTTCATCTCTTTGACAACCTTCAAACCAAGAACCTTAGCTATTTTTTTCTTCATGGAGTACCTAACCACCTTGCCAAAAATCATCAGAGATTTGCTTACATTCACTCTTTGTCCAATCCACTTACAAAAGTCCTCCACAATACTCTTCAAAGCTTTAGCTAAGTCCACGGATGCATGAGAAAATATTAACACATCATCTGCATAGACGAGGTGAGTAATCAAAGGTCCTCTTGGAGAAATTTGTATGCCAAGCTTCTGTCCCCGTTGCACAAGCGAATTGGACAAGAGTTGAGAACATAATATGAAAAGGTACGGTGAAAGTGGACATCCCTGACGGAACCCACTTTGAGGATCAATCCAATTAGAGTTCCTCCCATTGATGATAATAGAGAATCTCACATCTACAACACATTCCATGAGAAGGTTAGAAAAATCAATAGGAAAACCATACTAATCCAGGATGTGCCGAAGAGATGCCCATTCCATACTATCATACGCTTGCTCCATATCAAGTTTAATAGCCATCAACCCCTTCTTATTCTTAGATATTCTGAATTTGTGAAAGATCTCATGAGCCAAAAGACAATGCTCCGCAATAGATCTTCCATGGATGAATGCCATTTGTTCCTCTGAAATCATCTTGGAGATAACCTTCTTCAATCTATTAACTAACATGGTAGCCACAATATTATAATTAGTTTGGCAAAGGCTAATAGGACTAAAGTTAGAAGGAGTCATAGGGTTCTTAATCTTAGAGATCAAGACAATCAATTTATTCTTCCATTCCCTATGCATGTGGAAGGTTTTAAAAATGTAATTAACTGCATTCCAAAGAGTCTCCCACACAATACTCCAATAGCTCTTGTAAAAAGAAAAGGGTGATTCCATCTAAACCTGATGAGTTGTTGTTACCTTGCTGAAAAACCGAATTCTGCAGCTCAGTTACTGAAAATTCTGCATTGAGCACATCCATATCATCAACTGCAATTTTTTGGTTTTCAAAAACTGTAGGCCAACCTGTCACTTTGCAATCCCTGTGCTTCCATTTCTTCTAAAAAAAATTGATGAATACCTTCTCTATTTGCTCATCCTCATCATACACATTGTTGAGCTCATCTTTAATTTGAATGATCCTATTCCCATTTCTTCTAGCCGAGGTATAGTTATAAAATAATTTGGAATTTGTATCACCTTCCTCATGCCACCTAGCCTTTGCCCTTTCATTCCACCAAGTAGAAAGCCTCTTCAAGGTAACATTAAGTTCATGGACTTTATTTCTAAGCATAAAAAGGCCATCAACTGACCAATTGACACTCAAAGCTTCCTTGTTCTGAAGTTCAAGGATATCTTTTTTAAGCTTTTCCTTTAGCACATTCAAATCTTTACACTTGTTTTTATTCCAAAAAACAAAGAATTTAAAGTGTGGCTAAGCTTCCTTTGCAGAATCATATATTCATCTCCGAAATTATTCTTCCTCCAAGAGTGATAAAGAATACTCTTGGCCGCAAGGTAGGACCTCCATGAATCCTCAAATCTGAAAGCCTTTGACTTGAACCGCACCATTTCATCCATCTTAACAACTATAGGACAGTGATCAGATGCCAACCTCGCAAGATGTCTGGTAACCGCTAAAGGAATTTTCTGAATAGCAATAGAATTAAATATACATCTGTCCACCCTCCTTGTTGTTACACCAAGTAAACCGTGGGCCAACACATCCAACATCATGAAAATCATATTTCATCTTAAATCCCTTCATCTCCCTAGGTCCTTTAGAGAACAAGAACCTCTTACCTCCTCTCTTCTCCTCCTTAATGATACAATTGAAGTCTCTTCCTATAATAGAAGGAATATCATTCTCCAACTCTTCTCTAATTGAATCCAAAGGCCTCCCCTCTCCTTGCAGCACCTGCTACCATAAACAGTAGCAATTATCCAAGTTCCCAAGATGGGAACTAAAAGATTGCCAATGACAACCTATGAAGTAGCTTCCATAACATCAAAGGTCAACAACTTCCTATTCCAAAGCACCAAAATACCACCAGCTGTACCAGCAGTAGGGTAGTGAAAAAACTCCCAATCAATCCCTATAAGGCAATCAACCTCCCTCTATCAATACTAGACAACTTGGTCTCCATAAGCCCAACAAAGAACACATCCTGATCTCTAACAATCTCCTTCAAATACAAGGAAGCCTCCCTCTTCCTGGCTCCCCTATAATTCCAAAATAAGATGGATGACATTTGACCAGGTATCGAAGATCTCTCCCCATTGCTGGGGTTCAATCTCCCATCCTTCTT